ATCATAACCTCACTAGATAACCAACCGTTCACATCTACTGTAAAAGATCATAACCTCACTAGATAACCAACCGTTCACATTTACTATAAAAGATTATAACCTCACTAGATAACCAACCGTTCACATTTACTATAAAAGATTATAATCTCACTAGATAACCAACCGTTCACATTTACTATAAAAGATCATAACATCACTAGATAACCAACCGTTCACATTTACTGTAAAAGATCATAACCTCACTAGATAACCAACCGTTCACATCTACTATAAAAGATTATAACCTCACTAGATAACCAACCCTTTTTTAAAGTATTTCAATTCTTACCTTCTTTTCATTTCAGTTATCATATAATTTATATCTCACTAAAATGTATTCACAAATTACCATCAATGTTACAGGGGGATTAATCAAACTGTAAAATAATGATTGGTAAAAGGTGTTGCAGTGACACATTCAGTATCATATAATTTATATCTCACTAAAATGTATTCACAAATTACCATCAATGTTACAGGGGGGGGTTATTCAAACTGTAAAATAATGATTGGTAAAAGGTGTTACAGTGACACATTCCTTCAATTGAAATTCTTGGTGCCACGAGAAATATGTTTAACACCAAAAGGTTAGATTTATTACCCCCCCGTAAGTATCATCATGACTCTGGTGTCAAAAGTTTACTCCGTAGATATAACTAAAGAAAAGAGATCAAATGTGTTGGAGTTGAAGTTTTTAATGTATCTACAGACGATTATCTACTTGTACAGACTAGTCCCATCGAGAATGTTTCTTGTAAAAAGTCATAATTTAATTGAATTCAATTGCTATACACTCACCACTTTCTACAATTTGTTTTGGAGCTTTAATAATGTCAGACATTATGATGTTGTCTCGGCCATACTTGGTTCTGAGATGAAAAAAAAACAACAACAACATTAAAACAAGGATACAGAACACAGTGTATAGGAACTTAACTCAGAGAAATAACACATTAATCTGAAGGGAAAATTCTGTAGTTTACTTACTGATTATAAGTATTTATTTCTCAAGTTACAACTTTTACAACGAGGAAGAACATTGTTTTTTTAAACAAGTTTTAACAGCAAAGGATGAAGGACAAAGTATAAGTAATCCAGATTAGTGTTTTCACAAAAATGTTTCTTTGAGACAGGATATACATCTTTCCGGAACAAAAAAAGTCACAAAAACAATAGCTTTACAAAATCTCACAATTAATGGATGTACGAAGAGCCGACGTTAATTAGCTAGTATTTACTTACCTACAAATCAACTTAACTAATTTCAACAAAAAAATCTGTTTTGTGGTAAACGTCAGAAATATACGAGGTGGTCATCAAACCTAACATAGAACATTGTATTGTCAACAGTTACCTTTGAAAACTGTTGACATTATAAACTTTTATATTTTCTAACAGATTGATCAACAGAAACGGTCATTACTCGAGCCTCTTCTAAAGAAATATAAAATATTCTTACCGTAAAATCTTTGCCAGCCCCGTACCAAGCTGTCCCAAACTCCCTACGAGAGAAACAGCAAGTTTACAGTCATTCATACGCATCAAAATAATCCAAAAATGCATTCTACCGAAGTGTTTATAGATAAACAACGCTCCCAGAATCAGGCATATTTTTTAAATATGTAATAAAAAAAACATATTTTATTCTTTCATTGTTTATCTCAAACTTATAAATGGTAAACTTTTGAAATGGTTGTTTATAGATAAACAACGCTCCCAGAATCAGGCATATTTTTAAATATGTAATAAAAAAAAACATATTTTATTCTTTCATTGTTTATCTCAAACTTATAAATGGTAAACTTTTGAAATGGTTGTT